CACACACACACACACACACACACACACACACACACACACACACACACACACACACACACACACACACACACACACACACTTCACCCCTGTGATCACTCTGTCAGCAGCCGCCAGTGCGATGTCCATTCCCGCAAAACTCGCCCTGTAGACATGAAAAGTATGACCTCTGACTGAACATTAGCTCTCACTTGTTGCGTCTCCTTTCAACCTACCTTCACGGACATCTTAGGAACAACTGTTAATGTAGGCTCCAGACACTAGCGTCGTTGAGCCCACACACACTTTCAGTCCTCCCAATTTCGAAGTTGTAACCAACTTCGGAGTGCAGTGGACTGTTTAAACTCAGTCGTGTCTTCCTTCGGCCACAGTGACTAATGGCTTCCAGAAGTCTATCTCCGTTACGCTTGACCCGATGCATATGCGTACACATCGGAATTTGACGCACGGTCGTCACACACCACAAACCACCGTGATAGACCACAGTATTTGCCACTGTGTGCAACGATCACACAAACTCACCGCTGCTGGTAACTAGTGCACACACACACAATTAGGCGTCTTTGATCCAATGACATTTGCATCTCCACACCTCCTAAAGTTACGGTTCAAGCGCCAAGCAACCGAAAACCAATCTGCACACTCGAGTGAATGCCTTTCAATTACAAGGTAGGAGAGCACACACGTGTACGGCTGCGCGAATTTGAATACTGGTATCAAGTAAGTCAGAATACTTAACACAAAGCGAAAAAGTGAAGATTTCGAAAACGGTTATAAGAAATCGCTGAATTCATTTTAAAATCAATAAATTAGGCTTAAATATGAGAAAAATCATTCATTGTAAGGATTGGGAGACACAAACATATGTTTAAACTACTGAGTTATTCACTACATTACTCATTACATTGGTTAGGCAACTCACAGATAAAGCTTAAAGTCTAACGAATGGTAGTGTACTGAATGCCTGTCGATAGCTGATGCAAATGCCATTAAATATTTTTCCCTATCATCCCCAAAGGCATCATTTAAGAAAGGATAGAATGTGTTCAGTCTAGTAGACAGTTTGCCACTTAATTTATCCCAAATCAACAAATGCTGCAAAACCAAAAATCATTTTGCGTAGAAGGCAATCGTGAACGTGATTGTTGCGTTGTGCGACCGAAATCCAAACATTGGAAGCGAAATGGGTGACAGCACACATCGGTAAACAAGCATCAAAATCCAGTTTGAAATGAGTAAATCGAACTTTGACAATAGTAGGTGGTATAGGTATTTGCAGCAATGTGCTAAATTGGTGAATGGGGAAGGCTAACCACGATTACCAAGGCTTCAAAAGACCTACTGAAGTCAAGGGACTAAAACTGAATTTCCCTGCTAGTCGGCAGGGTTGAAAGTAAATGTGGGTCGACGAAATTGATCCTCTGATTCAGAGGCAGAACTATTACACCCGGATGGTGCTTTGAAACCGGCTACCTGAGCTGGGAGGTTAATATCCTCAGCATCCCAGTAGGCGTCCTTCACGATAGGTGGAATGTCACCGTGGTAAGCTCGATCCCAGAAATTCGTAAACTAATAAAATAAAATAACACTTCTATAGCTAAAGTATAAGGCCTAAGAAAACTCTTTTCTACCATATCAGAAGACAAGTAGTTACCATATTTACGACTTAAAGCCAAGAAGCATAATCAAGAAAGGTTTTTTGGATATGTTTGTATCAGAGACAAAAATAAATCTAGTCATGGCCTATCTTTGCCAGTGTCTGTGCAGCAATAGTATTAATACGAGAAAGACGCATCTTGTCGAGAACTTTTCTTGACTTGGTGAATGGATGTAAGAGGCTCAGATGTTGGTGAAAAGTACATTTATGTCCCACAGTGACTGAGACGATTGGCTTTTTTCAAGCCACTTTCCGCCCACTCAAAACTCTTATCAGATTAACAAAAACTGTCCATAAAAGGAACGACTTTGAATTAAGTGCTGCAAACATAAATAACGAATTAATAAGCTATGATAAAATGCCCAGCATTTCTGACAACTGTCACCTGCACGTTGCGTTCAATGTATTCTTCAATTTCAAAATCATCTTCATCTTCGCCAAATGGACTAATAAGTGTTTCCGCGACCTGGAAAAACGGAAAAAGGCAAATTTGAAATGCCAAAATGCCCCAAACTTGCATGTCGAAAGTGAGTTAGCTGACCTTGAGCCATCCCATGTAAAAAAGGAAACGAAGCAGACCGAAAATTGGAACATACAGATCCATACTGACGTTTTTGTACTTCTGAGTTGGGTCAAGGTATTGCCACGCGAAGATAGCCACTGCGAAGTAGGCATAGACAATTATTGTTGCGACCTAAAGTAACGCCTTAGTGCAACATCATTGCAGGCCACGATTAAAATACTAACTTAAAAGCTTCAATAGACTCTTATGTGAACGTTCCTTCCCTTGGTTTCTGCATTGAGAAGGCTAAATTAGGCACTAAAATGAAGGCAATGGGGAGGTAGGTAACTCTCATAACATCTACACAGATTTCAAGATTTACCAGCCTTTATACAAGAGCTCAAATTGAAGGTTATTGAACAGTCAATGAGGGCCAAGAGAAAGTGTTTTCATTGTATAGAAACACAGTAGTCTGGTAAGAGGCCCACGATTAAGTGGTAATGCATCGATCATCGTTGAGGAAAAGTGTGATGTAAAAGCCTAAGTGGATCGTGTTCGTACAGTCAAGAATTCCAATAAATTAACGGTAACACGTCTTTTGTGTGACAATGTGGTTTGAGGAAGTACGGAACTTCTTGCATGCCTCTTCCGTTCGCACAAGCTTAATTTTATTCCAAAACGGTCACCTGTGTATAAACCAAAGGCACATTGATCCAGTCATATATGCAGAGCTTAAATAAACTGTCGCGAAAAAGACCAATTTCGGCCGTTAAGAGCTCGACTGCACGGTCAAACGAGATACTTTTCTCCTCATACATTTCCGTGACAAGTTCTTGAGCCCAGCATAAAGGCAAAAAATTCATAGGTCCAGTATTTTCAGAGGCACTTTGTTCATAGCGACGTAATTCTTCGGGAGTTATAAGACCTGTGAAAACCAAATTATGCAGACAGAATTAGAAACTAATGGAGGTAGGTTTGTGAAATTCACAAAAAGGGGGCATTTAAGTGTGAAAATGCAAAATGCCACATAATTGAGTATGCTAATATAACAAAAATTTGATTTATAAGGATTTCCGGATGGATATCAGAGGTAGCTTCCTTCTTTTGCTTAAAGTTAGTGAATCGATCAAAAGTCTTTGAATTAAAAATGAGACACAAATGGTGTCAAAACTGGTATCATCGTTATTAGTGAGAGCAGCAGAAAAAGCTTTAAGGTAGAGACCACCGTCGTTAGACCTATCATTTGAATTTCAAATTTGTTGAAACTCCATAGTGACATTGCTAGTTGTTAAGGATAACAAATTTAAAGTAGAGAGCAAATTTAATTCCATTAATAGATCAGACCTGTCTCTACATTGTGAGAGCGACTAATCGCTCTCAAATGTGTCTGTTTAATGAGCGCACCAAATGGCTCAAAAAATAACCTCAAAAACTATGGGTATGCCTCAGCAAGGAAGCGATAATGCATACACGAATCGGGAACTGAATAGCTTTGGATTATAACATTGTAGAGACCCATTTTCCTGCCCCCAAAGGCCACATTTCCCTACACACAAGTCTGAACACTGCGCATAACCGCTTTGCATTTACATGCATTATAAATGTATGTACATGGATGCGTGCAACGCGTTTTAAGACAAATTGCAACCCTTTTGAAGTCAAGTATCGAAAGTTTTAAGGTGGATTTAAAATCTGGGTTGAATTCCAGTTATGACACTTTTTTGAATTCGAGACACTTTTTAATCACGTAAACACACAGTTGGTCAATGTTCAGAAAAGTTAGGAAGTTACCATCGATAGTGCTCACAATTTGGCTTGCGTGCAAGTCAAATTAGTAGCAGCCAATTGCGTGACAATTGCCTCTTCCACATTCCGTAAAACGAAGGAAAAAACAAACTTTTGGCAATTTTATCCGCAATTTTTCTTGAAAATTTGTTTGTTAAAAAATATAACGAAAGTGGTAAACAGCCAAGGGATCAAAGCTGCCAAATTGCATCATAAAAATTAAAAAAACATTGAGTCAGTCTCTTCAATAAACAGGACTAAATCAGACTAAAAATCCGGTTTGAACTCATGTCGAAGCCGCAACTGTTTGGTGACACGCCACTGAACCCGCAGTAAAACTAGAATTACCTTATAAAGTGTAATAACTGAATTATGAGTTGCGAAGATTGAGACAATACAAATAATAAGGCGCTGGCGCACCACTATCCCAAGCGACTAAGTTTGGTCATTATATGTTCAGGATTTGTTGCACTAATTTTTAAAACATCATATCGGTAATTAAATGCAAATAAAAATATGTAATGTAACAACGACCACATTAAAAATGATAGCGGCCGCGAATGCTGGGCCTTTATTTTGAAAATGATAAACAATAACAAAGAAGACTTTTAAAATCAGAAAGACATGAAAACAATAGGTAAAGGATAAAGTAATATGCAAAATAGTAAATTACAGTCGCTTTCAAGTAAGAATGTCTACTTAAATACACAAAGCCACCTTGACGTTATCCTAAACCTAAATGCATGCAATAAAGCGCAGGCAGCAAGTTAGTAAAACAGTGACCACCTTACCTGCCGAAACGAGATGATCCATAGTCGGAAATCTCAGCCGTGCTCTCGAAGATATATCGCGTGTTGTTAAACAAAAAGCTAGATTTATGTAGCGAATAAAAGTCCGCCTCTGCATCTTTGCTCGCTCGGACGTTCCGTGAGCATAAGAATTTATGAGTAGGGTGAGAGTGTCAGGCCATGGAACGGTGCAGAACTGGTCCCACCATCGGCTTACTATTGTATTGACGTAAAACCCAAGCACAAATCCAACAGGAAATAAAACTGTAAGCTTTTCACAACGTAAGCAAAAGTACTCGAAATTTCTAAAGATACAAAAAATGCGAGAATTAATAGACTTGCCTAAATACTAGCATGCCATTGTGCCAAAACATAATCGAGGCTAGTATACAAGAAAAAAACAAGTCAATAAAGTGGTGAGAATACACACTAATTATCGTAATCTGACCAAAAGCACTGAAGTTGTCACAAATGCCCACACTCCCTTGGATATATGCTTCCAAAAAACCGCGTACAAGTGGCTCTAAGGAATTTGTGAAAGAAGTACATCAACTAATAGGATTTTTTCGAGAAATTTAAAGATCACAGAACTTGGCTAAGTTAGAGCCGCGAAAATTTACGGTTTGCCTTGAAAATATCAATGGAACGTCTGAAGCAGCATTCACAGAAAAAAGTTGGCATGCCTAAGGAAGTAAAACGCAAAAAATCACTCGGAACAGTAAAATGCATAACAAAATTCTTTTGGAGATGTCAATGTAATAGGTTAATATTGATTTTAATGCAGCAAGGTAAAATTGAAAGGGTAAAAATTAATCGACGAAACAAAGTTTGGCACCTTTAATAACAAATAGGGAAGTTAATAAAAGAAAAATATTTCTCAAATTGTCCAGATTAATTTTGTACAATGGAATTTTGTAGCAAATGGAAACGGTCACAGCAAAACGCAAAAAGGAGAAGAATAATACCTAAGACTAAAAAACATCCGTTCTAAAACCCCACAGTCTACAAACATTAAGAAGAGCAAAAAAATTTAATAAATCTGAGTCTTAAGCCAAAACTTCTAAAGTCACAATTTATGTCAACAATAACTAATATTAATTAACGCTCGTTAAATCGTCTAACCATACTTTATAACATAACGCGAATATTTAAAATAGCTCTTTTAATATAAAAACAAACCTTTTATTCGAATCGGTAAGTAAAAGACGATATATTACTGAGATAATCGAGTAAGCAATCGAAAAAATCACAAATTCAAACCATATGGCCTTATACACACTTCCTTTCCATCTACAAAAATTAAAAACTATGAAAAAAACCTGAAAAGCAGCTTTGGGAATGCAAGATAGCTTGTTGTGGCAATCGAACTAGTATACGATACCGTCATCTTTTGCGTTGCGTCATCCAAAAAGCCGCCTCCCACTAAATTTACAGAAACCTCTTGACTTAAACAAAATGATTAGAGTTTAATTTTAAATTTAATTGTTCATTTATGTTTTGTGGAATTCGCATACCACACAAATGATTTTTAAAACGGGAAGCAGCAATTAAATGAAATAATAAGTCTCAATGCAGTTGGATTAATTTGATCCGTCAGGAATTTTTGTACTCGACGTACTTCAGTCATTTATTTACCGAAATTTCTAAACCCACAAATCAGTAACATGTTCATTCTAAGGTTGCCTGGAATATTGTTTTTATTATGCATGCCTAGTAGCATCTTTTACTCTAGGACCATAAAACGCACACGGATTTATTAGTGCAAAATAAGGCCTGTAATCCCAGCATCCAGCATGGATTTTCATCGTTAGCAAGGGTTTGCCTATATAGCATTAAGCCCTAGTGTTTCATACCTACTTATTGGCAATTTAAAAGGTGTCTAGATATTTGGGTTTTAGCACGCTTTTTGGAATCTCACCGTCACAAATCTGTTATAAATTGAGCACTCTTATCTGTGCAGATGTGAATATGCAACACATGATCTGCATCCCATTCTGCTATAAATTATTTGGCCCATGACTTGAAATCTGACTTCTGCAGGGACATTACCTTAGCCTATTTGATAAGGTAGTCGAATATTACGAAGATATAATGGCACCCGTATGCTGTTTGGGGGAGATGCCCACTGAGGTTTTATCTCACGAATTAATTTGAAAAACCTGCTGAAAAGGTTGGAAAGGTGCTCTGAATGAACGCGATAGCGCCTTTATTTTCCTGCCTTGCCGACAATTTGCAAAAATATCTTTTTTATTATCTTGTAGGGTAGGCCACCAGAAACGCCGACTGGTCGCTTGTACGAATTTTGCCTGAAGTAGATTACACGGACTAAGATGCAGCTCCAACACACTTTGTTCCACTGCTGCCCTAGGTAAAGCCACAAGGAACGGCTATGATATCTCAAATTTACAGATAGAACCACCGTTTTGCGACCTAAGTTTATCCCATGTAGACCAGAAAATGCATGTTTTTTGACTTCTACCGGTCAATTAAATTTGCCGTCGGCTCAAGGGATCCCGTGCACTGCCTATCGCGTTTAGTTCTGTAGACATGATGGCACCTGCAACTGCGGATTCCGGGATTCGGGGCAAAGCGTCTGCATTTTCGAGCGTCTTACTCGGATGGTACTTAACCTTGTATTTGACCTGACTAAATAGCTAAAATCAAACTTGCCATCTAATCGGTTGGTTCTTTAAAACTGCACTGCCAGCTCAATGCGTGGTTATTAATACGTAGCACGGTTTTGCCCCCTTATAAGTAAATTTTATAGTGCTTTCTTGTTTGGTGGTCCTATAGTTTGATTCGGGTTTCAGTAAAACCCTGTTGTTAAACGTAAAGAGCAGTTCAGAGTCATTGAGTTATGCCTGTAAATTTCCTGCTATCACTGCATTCCTGTTCAAAATTAAAGAAGAATAATCCGTATCGAAATTAGGGAAGGTTATTATCAGTGCTTTTATTAGACGGTCTTTGAGCTCGCGGAACACCTGCTGGCATTGCAGTATCTACTCACAATGACCCTTTCTCTTCAAAAGTACTGACGAGGTGACAACATGTGCCTATTGTCCTGGACGAACCTACGATAATGTGTTCCTTGTCCTAAAAACAACGCAAATCTTTCACATTAGTTGAGGTTGGCCAAGTTCTAACCTTTTCCATCGTATTTGTGTCTGTTTTGCATTTTCTTTTAAAACAAAGTTAATCTTGAACGCTGCCCCATGAAGGTGCTTAAAAGCTTTACGCAGACGCCTCATCTGACGGGCACTGGTTTCGGCGTATATTATAGCATCAACATATACGATACAATTATGTTGTATTGGCCCCTGCGACTAATCTTTCAAATGAAGGTGGGACATTTGTTTAAATAAAAGGCGTGGGTTTTAACTCCTAGAGCCAAGACTAATTTATGAATTCTGACTTTGTAGGGTAAGATGGACTTATTTTAACTTGCAAGTAGCCTGATTTTAAGTAAAAGGTAAAAGAGAGGGCCACCTGGTGCAGTGCCTTTGGCGCCACATCTATACACGAGAGGGAAAACTAACTTATGTAGCTTATGATAACCTACACACTTCTTAATGCAACGATGCGGGATGCCCAATAAGCAATTGAGAGTGTAGCCGAAATGACTGCCTGCTGACATGCGACAGGTATACATCGAGGCCGACGTCTAATGGGGTGAGATTCTACTTTATTAATATCATGGTAGGTTACACTCGAGCTGCATTCTATCTGGGTCTTCCGCAGGTAGATTTGTGCCTACCGAGCAATACTGTTTATCTAAAGATGGATGTACAAGCGGTGTAGCTTTACATTGACACTGCTGCTCTGTTGATACGTCAAAAGCACCACATGAAAACCCAGGCGTAAGCAATAAAGTGATCGGCTATTATCCCACGCGCAACCATCTGGAAAGTAAGAACACATAATCCCATCATTTGATATATCAGGGGATAGATAAACAATATACTGTTAAGCGCGTCTTGCTATTTCAAGAGAAACATTTTGACCCCCTTTTCTTATCATCTAGATGCCATTAGCGTCCTTGCCCTTAATGGAGGACTCCACTAGCAAGAGGTTTGATGTGCTCCTGCGTGAACGGCGTGGGTTAATGCAAGAGCACCCAACACTTATGCCTACTTGAAAATACATTAATTAATTGCATAATTAAAGTGATATAAATAGACTGCTGCCTAAACATGATGCATAACTGGAGGAACATGAAACAAACACATCTGAACCATCAATATGCACTGATGCAGCTTAAAGGGTTTACCTCCTGCTGAGCTCCTTGCCAAGCAGAGCCTTGGGCTTCCACGTAAGTGCAATATCGGTTAGTGATCACCAACAAGAAACATTCGGGTCAGACTTGAATTGACCGCATTAAGCTGACTGCACCTTCCACGGAATAGTGCCTTTATGCATCAGCAGAATACCCGAGCTGTAGTGTCGAGAATTCAGGTACTACAAAGCAGTAGACTGGTACAACC